CCACAGAAATATATAGGACAAACTGGGCGAATATTTAAAATCAGATTTAAAGAACATATAAGAGACATAAAGAACAGTGGACAAAATTCCAAATTCAATCAACACATAGTGGACACTATACACAAATATCGAACAACAGATCAAACTATGGAAATCTTCATTGGAAAGGAAGGACGAATGTTGGGTACTCATGAAAGATTTCTTATATATGAAATCAATAAGCAAAACATCCAGTTGAACGACAATTTTACCGAAACATTTAACCCAATATGTGACACAATAATTGCAGCATGCCAAGTATAAACTACTACTTTGCCCCCATCCTACATCCACCACACCCCTACCTCTCCCCCTCACCTTGGATGCTAGTGGGGTTGACAGAACACTGATAAAGGCAACAACCCAAAGGGTTACTTAACAAACCATTATGAGAAAGTGCAGATGTTACTATCAGCCAGTTTCCACAGATTCTTCATGGTTCCAACACAGGGTTCATGGAACTACAATTTCTTGGGTGTGTATTAATTATTATTAGTCTTCCACTCTAAAGCTCCACCATAAGAATGCGGTTGCACAGAAAAGTCTGCAGTGGATTATACAAAAGACCTTCAAACAACAGCAGGTATAGATTGTATTAAAGCCTGTTCTGTCCTCTTGGGATAGATATATTGCAATGTAGTCTGGCAGAAGTCTACTGATGTTCCACTGAAACATGAATAGACTTCTACCAGATGACCCAGAAGAGAGTATGCTTCAGTCACTATTGTGAGAACGTGAAATCCGAAATCTAAAATAGTTTTGAAAACCACGTGTCACACCACCACCAGAAAGTTTTAATCTTAGAAATATTTTTTTCCAGTTGTCAGCCATGATCCTGACTTAAAGTACAAGTTGGAGTGTTACAGTCCAAAGGATTTTTACCCTGAGGTTCACCTCCCAGCACATTTCCTTTTCATTGGGGCTGACAGAGAACATGTAAACATAAGTTGTAAGGTGTACATATGTATGCGTGAACAATGTATGTAAAGAAATATCATTTTAATTTTCAGTTTTAAAAAGTTTATTGTTAATTGCTTTCATTTGAGTTTCTCTTTTAAAAAAGTTCACTGTTAATTGTGTTTTAAGTTTTAAAAAGTTTATTGTTAATTGCTTTCATTTGAGTTTTTGTTTTAAAAAGTTTTGTGTGATTATAAGGTAACTTCTAGAATTTTATGTTATATTACTTTATGTACATATACAGTGTTCAAATCTGGGATCAGTAAAGAATTAAGCTGTATATGATTCCTTGTCTTTCTTTCCATTTCAGTGGCAGTCCCTTTATATGAATGTGATGATAGTGCCCAGTGAGTGACCTTATACTCCTGTCATTTCCATATCATTATATTCATGATCATGTTCATCTTATGTCATAACAGATATCCTCTGCAGTTTTTAGTCATTAAGCAACCTATGAACCATGCAAACACCTTACACATATTTGGAATTCTTGGGAATTTACTTCAGTTTAAAAGCAAATCAGAAAATGAACAGTTCTGTCCCTGCAGTCATGTGAAAGTCAACCAGTGTTTTCAGAAGACTGTACTGTCTCCATCTTCAGGGTTGAACAATGAACTGAGCAGGCAGCAAGCAGAGCTCCACTTGCCATCTGCTTTCTTGCTCAATTTATTATTTGACCCTTAAGATGGAGGCAATATGTTCCTCCAAAAAATTGGTTGACTAATAACAGACTACATGATGTTATATGCCAGATGATAGTACTCTTCAAGGTGAATCTAGTTTCTCTAGTGATGTGTTTTTCAAATGTCTTTGGTAACAGAATGTTCTGCTGGAGGGTGTGAGTAAAATCTGAATTTTCCAAGTAATACTGATTTTCTTAGGGTGCCATCTGTCTTCTGTAAGGAAAGGAAGCTGAGGCACAATGACCCCACACATCTTCAACTGCTCGATACTGTGTATGGGATTTGAGGTTATGGCAGTGAATATTAAGTTGCTGGGTTGTGATGGTACATTGCCTGATCAATGGGACTAAGCTGGAGATAGTGTTTTTTTTTTCAAAACATTTGGCACCTATCTACCAAACTACATGGCATCACATTCCAGGAGGCTATGTTCTTTAATTAATTAACTTCTCAATTCAACTGACTGATTTTTATGGTTTTGATGAACATGGTGGTCTTATTTGCGGAAACAGCACAGATGTTTGCTTTATGGTGGGTGGTGTCAACTCAGTGGGGAGGTAAGAAAAGTGTGTAGAATACTGGTGTGAAGATACTCTTGAAAAATGGTTACAAGTAATACCAAGGAGGAGATCTGATAATAATAAGATAAACTTTTGAGAATTAAAACTTGATTGTACTGAGTGGAGATGTGCACAAAAGCAGGTTTTGGCATTATCAGTATTAAATCTTTTAGTTCTGCTGCTGGTGGAATTGTTGGTTGGTTAAAATTCTGTATAACATAAATTCACAATTACTGGTCTGTAACTAATAATTTTTATGAACTCACATTACAAAATGTTAAAAAAAGACAAAATACAAAACATGTCTTAAAATATATTTTTTAGAACCTTAATGACATATTTCACAATATGTGAGAGCCCATGTTTCTTAAGTACAGGTACATTTGCCATATTTTAGATTACAATTCTTTTTCTGTGATATGAACACACTTTCCTCTACCATTAATAATCCTAAAATTAGACTTTGGCAGTTAAGTGTATTACTTCAGGGTCATAATAGAACAGAACCCCATCTGTAACTCTGGTGAAAGTGGTAACTTATTAATGGTCAGCAACTCGGTGTTGTCTGCAGTAAAAGAGAACATCGTTTTGTTCATCTTATAAACATGTACTTAAGAACACAGCAGGATCTTTCAGAAACAACCCTGATTTACATGTATATATACACAGTGTCCACTTGGCCAACTCCAGATTTTGCTATTTTTTTTATACGGATACTAAATACGCTGCTTTTATGCTCTCTGAGTGTTTGAATTTTTGTGCCTGTTCAAAAAATATCAGTTTAAGAGGTAGTAAACAATTTTCTGGTAAAATGGAGAGAACAGTAAGAAAAATAGCAGTGGTTTAAGTGTACTCATTAAAAGAAATCTGGTCTTGAGTATATGAAGCACTGGTATGTGTTGCCACTAAATACCTTAGCCATGAGTGGGAAGTATGTACATAATTGTACTCATGTCAATGCGTTTATGCTGTGATCATATGAAGTATGCTTATTATGAGATTATTTTTATCAAGCATCTGACACGGAGAAGATATGACCAGTTTTGCTGTAAATATCTGGGTTCTACAGTTCCAGGTGGTTCAACAATATACGTATAATGCTACAGGTTCCATGCCAGTTGAACAGAAAAGATGAAAGTGGTTAAGTCTAAAGATAAATTGTATGACACTGGAACTAAACTGAAAGCTTAGACTTAAAAATAAGTTCCTGTACTCATGCAACAACAGAACAGTTAACCATTATTGTCTGTAATACTAGTCGCTCAGAATCTTGTGTTGAGACTGCAATGCCAGTGGTTCAAGGATTGGTGATCAACATATCTCAATGCAGACCTTCAGTTTTATGTTTTTATATTTTGACACATGATTTACTTTAAGTAGCTACATAATAGTGAAAAGTCGAAACAGTCACATCTAGAAGTACATACTCAAGAGCGAGACACTTAGGAGAAGTTGGCACTTTGAGACTTGTCTGTGAAAGATATATTGCACACGAAAAGCAGGACACATTTTTTTCTTTTGGGGGGGGGGGGGATTGCTTGTCCATTATGTTGGGAAATGTCAACTGTATGAAACTCATTTACACAAGCAAAGAAAGACTGGTTAAACAATTATCTGGCAGTATGTCATGACTGCATTCTGTTAGACAATATTATGGTGCATCCTGTGTCCACACTATCTACTTCTGACTTTTTGTGTTTTCAAGCACAAGAACAAGCAGGAAAAGTTAAATCATCAAAATAAACACCAAACAATTTTAAAATATGAAATGTTTGTTCTAAAGTGCCAAATATTCTGTTTGAAGCTTAAGCCTTTGTATTATCCCAATTCATCTCGAGCCTCTTCTAAAATTTGTTCTCTTAATGAAATATTCTCTTTGTCAATAACTACAAAGTTTCCCAAGTTTACTTTGCACAGTGTTTGTCTTCATTTCCACTAAAGAAATATCTAATAAGGAAACAAGAAACAAACTCCGGTTCAACATGAATGTGTCAAATTCTTTAGCAATGTCACTGTTCATAAATATAGTTTTAATCTCACAACTATGATAACGTAAAACTGATCCTACATTTTTAATAACTGGGACTTCACCAACATGATCAGATAATCCCCCTATCAATGGATCTACATAAATACTACCTTTCCTACAGCTGTCTATAAAAATATTACTGGTCTCCATACTTGAGTAATTTTCAATTACTGAGGGAAATCAACTATAATGTAAGACTATAACATGTCTGTAGTTATTATTTCTTACTAAACACTGTCACAACACGTCAGTAATATGTATAAGTAGCTCTAGGAGATAAAAAGAAAGGTTTGTAGTTAGTTGAGACAGCTCGTGGCAACTTTCAATAAGGTAATCATATTTATGTCACCAAAGATGACAAACTCTGGTTTAGCTTTGTGAAAATAATTTATCCCTCCTTTTTACAAAAAGTTCAAAACCACCTACAGTGGCTCTGTATATGGACAAGACATGTTAGAGAATTTAGATTCTAGTTGCACAGCATTTTATATCCCATCCTTTACAATGATCATTTTACAACTATGTGATGATTAAATTCTGGATTACTCTTGACAAAGATATTCACTCCTCCTTTTACCAGCTTTTGTCTACAATAACTAACTCCTAGGGTGTAACTGTTTAGATTAACCCATACAATGTCTCATGCTTTCCTGGTGATATGGCTGGAAGCAGTCATGCCCTTAGATCCACAAAAGTGTCTTCCACTGCAGGCAAGAAGTTGAAACTATAAGAAACATACTTCATGCATTCTACTAAATATATGGGAACAAAATACTGACAGCAGTTACAAAACAGAAAAGCAAGCTAACTACTGGGAACTGAATCAAAATTATTTTGTGATGCTGTGAAAGCTTGTATGCGTTTGTTCATAGGACAGCACTAACAGTTTAAAACACATTACAATTAATCTGTGACTATGATGGAACAGTAACATGAATCAACCCAAATTTGTGAACCATTAATACTCACAATGTTTATTCAATTCAGAATGGTCAGTCATCTGAATCTTTATCAGCCTCTCCACATGTATCACACAGTTTTCCCACATTGTTGGAATGACCTGAAAGTCTGACAAATAGATTTGTATCACTAAAATTCTAAGTTTTCGCTTTGTATTCAACAGAGAAAAACAAATATTCAGACATGTTCCAATGATTCCCCGAACATATTTTTCACAGCTTCATTCCCAAACCATTTCAACCAATGTTACTAGTGTAATATCTCTGTTGTGCGCTGAGCAACATCTCTCTCGTAGCTCCTTGCTTAGCCAGGAAGGTCCCGCCCACCATAGCTGATTACCTTGAAGTCGTCGTGGGTCCGTTCCTCTGGAGATGATGTCCACAGGGTTGTCCTGTGATGCAACATGTCTCCAAGCTCGGTAAGTGGTTAGCCGTTGGATCTCCGCGACTCTGTTGGCCACATGTTTTCCAAGTTGACGAGCACCCAGCTATCCAGGCTAAAACAACTGTGGAGTCCGTCCAGTAAAAGCGTTGAACAATTTGTAGGTTGAGGGCCCTATGCACCTTATCTACTAACTGGCTTAAAAGAAGGGCGGCGTTCAGCTCCAGTCTTCGGAGTGACACCTGCTTCAATGGGGCCACTCTTGATTTCGAAGATAACAGATGAAGTGTGATGGTTCCGTTTGGGCTTATGGAACGTAGATAGACACATGCCCCGTAGGCTCTTTCTGAGGCATCGGCAAAGCCATGAAGTTCTACAGTGATGCTTGTGCCGTCTGCCGTGATTCTTCTGGGTATACTAATCCTGTTGAGATCAGGCAGCCGTTGGTGAATTTCCTCCCACCGCGTGGCAAGTTCTGAAGGCAATCTCAAGTCTCAATCCAGCTGTTGTTGCCAAAGGGTTTGAATGAATAACTTACATTGTACGATGACAGGTCCTAGTAATCCCAAAGGGTCGTATATGGATGCTACATTAGCCAGCACCATTCTCTTCGTCCATGTCACATTCTTGTGCCTGCTGTCCACCACGCTGAATTGGAACAAGTCACTACTGGGATACCAGTGCAGTCCAAGAGTCTTCACTGCACCCTCGTTGAGAGGAACATTGCAAGGTGCCCATGTCTCCTGAAGTGCGGCTGGAATGACTTCCAAAATGTCTAGACTGTTGGACCGCCACTTCCGAACAGGGAACCCTCCACTCTTGAGCAATGTTGTGACGTCGTCATAGAGCTGGATAGCTTCACTAACAGTGTCTGTTCCTGTAAGCAGGTCATCAACATAGAAGTCATTCTTAATTACTTCAGCTGCAGTCAGTTGTGTAGGTTGACCGTCGAGCGCCACCTGTAATAAGCATTGTGTTGCCAGAAAAGGAGCTGCAGCGGTTCCATAAGTTACGGTGGCCAGACGGTAGGTTTCTAACCATTGACTGGGATGACTTCGCCACACGATTCTCTGGAGGTCTCTGTCGTCCTCATGCACTTGAATCTGTCGGTACATCTTCTCCACGTCTGCAGTCAATGCGTACCTGTGTGCGCGAAAGCGTAGTACTATGGAGAACAGATCCTGCTGGATGGTTGGTCCTACCATCATCAAATCGTTCAGCAACGGTGACGAGGTGGTGTTTGCTGACGCGTTAAAGACTACTCTAACCTTGGTAGTGCTGCTTGTATTCTTTACTACCACATGATGAGGCATGTAATAGCAAGACTGATGCTGGTCAGTAGGGTCGACGAGTTCCATGTGCCCCAGTCGCAGGTACTCATCCATAAACTTGACATACTCATTCTTCAAATATGGGTTTCTT